TCTAATGTGTTCCCGCAGTAGCATTCACGGCCATACTCCACGCCCCAGTAAGTAAATCCCGTACAGTTAGAAGCACACATCTCAAGTGTCAAAGCATCGCTTGGATAGGCTGCCCCGGTCAAGGCACGACCGGCCGGGAGCTCGGTGTAGCAACCGACTCGGACATACGACGAAACAGTTGGCTTGGGAGCAAGTGTAGCAGTCGGAGCTGGTTGGCTAGCTGTAGTGCTATACAGTTCTAGCCTATTGCCGTCCCCGCAGTATTCCGTGTCATCGCCACCGCACACCAACTTACAGTCGGTCAGGGGCGCATTCTCGCTCGATGGATGGAGCGAGTTGGCACAATAACCTAGTTAAAGTGTTAGTTTCATTGGTTGCTACCGACCTTGTCCATCTCAGAGACTTACACTCCCGGCCATACTCTGTACCCCAGTAAATATACCCCGTACAGTTCTTCATGCAGCTTTCCAGTGTCATGCTATCGTAAGCAAAGGCAGCATCACCAAGCGCTCGAGTTCCTCCTACGGTAGATTCCGTCTGGCACCCTACAAGCGTGTACCCGCCGAGCTCATCTCTATGATGCAAAGTTTCAGTTGGCGCTGTGGGAGAAGTGCTCGTGCTGCTTACTTTGGTAGATGAACTAGTAGACACTGTAGCAAGAGTTGTGGACGAGGTGGCGCTAGCTGAAATAGTCGAAGAGATAGTACCCACCGACGAGGTAGTTGATGATCCAGCAGGCGTAGACGCTTGTCCGGTACTACACATGGATGATGGCGGATTTTGGAAAGGCTGACATGTCGCCGCTAGTTCGCTTGCGGCGTTGAAGTCGTCTGAAAGAGCCGAAGAACCGCTCCCGCTAATGACATCAATCTTGGATGCGTACGCCAGCTCACCAAGGTCGGTAAAATTCGCAGCATAAAAGGTATATGCACCTACGCAGGTTCCTTCGGTCATAGTAATAGTAGCGTTTTTTAGGGTGGGCACTGGGCGGTTCGGGTTCCCTGTTGGGGTCTTATACGACAGAAAGGTATTAACAGGGAGTGATTTGCGGTTATTGCGAACCTAAGGGATTCGGTCAGCTATTGTCTACGACCTCGGGGTATCAAGAGAACTCACAGCTGCTGTAACGGTGAGTGTACCAGATAGGAGACAACTCTGAGGCTGTTGAATTAATATTGCGTCCTGCATAGGATATGAATTGCCATTATTGTCGAAGGTTTGGGACGTTCCGCTGGCCATATTAAGTGTTACTGTGAAGGATGAAATGCCAGTAGAAGCTGAGATAGCAGCGTTGATAGGGAACCACTTGCGTAAGTTAGACTTCGGTAACAATCACCACCATCTTTCCGCAAACTTACGACAAATTGGTCATCGAACCCTTGAGTAGCACCCAGTAGAGTCGCCGAGTATTGACAAGTCCCACTACCGCAGTTGTTGCCCCCACTTCGATCTTTGTAGTTCAGCGTCAGACTAGAGACGGAATCATCCCCCATGTCAGTCGTTCGGACACGTATAAACCCAGTTAACTGCATTGTAGTAGCTCCAGAATTAAGTGCTAACTGCATATCAACTGGCTTGACAGAATAAGGTTGGATGGGATCAGATAGAACTACTCCAGCGGGGACCGTGTCGATCATCTTTTGAAGAACTGTTGCACATATACTGTTGAACTCAGTAGCGCCAGCCATCGCTTTGACCGTCACGTTGCCATCGTAGTTAAAGACTTTGAAGTCGGCATTTCTAGTAGCTTTTATCGACGGCCCAACTACCATAGGGTTAGTTGTGTTGCCAGCGATATATTCGGTGAGGACCTTGTTATCGAAGATTGCCACCGTCGAGTCTAGGGGGACTTCTCCGTTTGCTGTGGATCCGACAGGAACAATCTCAGGGAATTCAGTTTCATGGACACCACCGATAGAATGACCACAGGCGGTGACTTGAATCATCTCCTCTTTGGTAAACCCCATTCGTAAAAACTGCTGCTCAAAAGTGAAGGCGGTGTTTTGTGGTAGTGGAACACCTATAGGACCACCTGCCATAGCATCGATTCTTCCGCCAGCGATAGGCACCACGGGCCCGCCACAGGACCTGACAGAGTAATATACGCCCATAGCAATGAGATCCGCCACGCCTGATCGACTAGTATAGTAGTCAGCCATGAACTTCAGTGTAGTGTTGAACCCGGGCCCTAGATTGTCCGAGCTAGTCAACTCATATTGCAATGAGCCATCCAGTCCACCAGCTCGAACGTTTTCTAAATTCGTACTCGTGGCCATATCATGAAAGGCTGCTCGTAACCATTCTGCAGCATTTTGTCGACCAGGTCCAGATGCTTCGTTGGAGCATGGGATTACAGTCCCACCAAAATCTCGACCCCTATACCCTTTGACCTGGTACATGATCTCTTCCAGTTCGTCATTGGGAGAGGGCCAGGTTGGGTCTGCTCTTACTAGGGTACTCAATGACAGTAAATGCCACCAGTATACAGTATGCCAACGCATTGTAGCACAAATAAAGGTATTAGTAGTTAGGACATAAGCTAATGCAGTAATATAATAACGATGGCCTCTTGAGCCACTGGTAAGAATATCTATGTACGGGGAAAGTCCGAGAACAATAAAATCAGACCCAAGGGCGGATACGGTAAGAGATATCTGCGAGCCAACACTGTGGCTTCCTCATTGTGATAGTTTACTACTACCTTGTGCCTGATAATCTTTCAATAATTTCTGCGAGATAGGACAACGAACGGCCCAAGCCCGGGAGCTGCAGGACCCCTGCCAAAAAAATAAAAATACGAGACTTCGCAGCAATGCAATGCTACCTAGGGTAGCGCCTAAACGCGGATTGGTCGCGAGCCAACCTCTTGTGAGAACTTCAAAACGCAAGTAAGTTATGACGGCAAAAAAAAAGAGGTCATTCACAAGCCACATAAGCAAATGTACTCATCTGTCGGTATGTCATCCATGGCGCATGGACCTTTCCAGGTTTGCATTATAAACATATCGTCTGAACGTCTCTAGCCAATGACACGACAAGTATCAAGTCGTTATATACACCGGGTACCGGCTCGGAGTCAGCTGTACTGTACGTCCAAGTTGATGTAAGGTCGAAAAGGTTGCTTGGAACCGCGCCAAGGGGGATCAAAGAGATGGTAGGCGCCATCTACATGTAGCTATTGATAAAGGACTCACGTATCAACATCGCCACACTAACTGGCTATAGTCATTAGTCTGAAGTCAGGTGATTGATTGATTGACCATTGAAGCTAAGGCTGCCTTGACCATTGCCACCATAGTAGCTACCTCGGCGGATGTCTTTCCTGGTGGGTGGTTTATAGTGCCGGCTACCCTAGGGAATAGTCGATGACCCGTTACGCAGCCTGGTGGCTTGGCTTTAAGTATACATCGCTTCCAGCCTCACACGGGTTGAACCAAGAGTAGAGCGGACTGATCAAAGCCATAGCTTAAACTGGCGGTTTCAACTTGAATGACACCTAGGGAAGCCTGATGTCATTGCAGGGCATGTTAGAATAGCAACGTCCAAATTGTCGAGTCCAATCCATAGCGTTAGTTCTCCCTCCCGCTTGGCGACTGGAGGGAAAGAAAAGAAACCTCCTAGTTGGGATGACCCGGAAGTCCCTGCAGACTTCAACGGTACAGCATTCAATGGGAAAGCGTCGTTGAACTGTGGCCGCTATTAACGCTAATAACGGGATCCAAAATCGCACTAGACTAGGCCAATGAGGGCAGCCTACACACGATAGCGTAAGGTGCTACATGTATTGAATCTGGAACGAAGAAGCAAAATTAAAAAATTCATGTTTTCGGTGCTGGGTTCCGGATCCCCAAAATCGCATGTACCCTCGCAGCCTCGACACGTGCGTTTAGTGGGCCATTCAGATTCGCGACGAGGATCAGGGATAATTGGGAAAGCCAAGCGAGCTTTCAGATCCTTAAGCCACTATCTTAGAGATCTGGAATCTCGGCAACCTAAACGAGCCCCCCAATTCGGCGCGATTTGAACTTGACCAACTTCCTCTCCCGTCTTAGCGCCTGTTATCGCAACAGCGCACACAATTCAAGCGAGCAAATGTCATCACAGCGTTTACAAACACAAATCCATGTAGAAGGAGTTGGCGACATAGGCAGATAGGTAGGTAGGTATGACAGAATCAAAGGGATAGGTTTGATTGGGTTAAGTGGGCGCCCGATCGCCATATACCCCACGTTCGTGTTCACTTGAGTTCTAGCCAACCCTCATTTGCCTAAACCTTGACTATGATAAGCAGTGCTTTGAGACCAGTCACTGTGGTTTGATCTACCTACCTACATGTATATTTTAAATGCATTCAAATACCTGCTACATACGTGCAGCTGCAAGGATTGCCGATTTGATTTAGTTAAGTGACGCAGTCATCTTACACGAGCCACTTGATGTCTTAACAGCAATCACAATAGCCTTTTATATAATATGATCGAGATATAACCGGTTTGTTTCGAGCCTTAAAAATATGATTGAAGAATCATGGTTGGCTCGCAGATTTAGTCCACAAAGCTTTACTATGTAAAAGTAGCATATCTGTTTGTAAATGATAGCTTAGTAGAGGCAAGGAATACTTAGAGATCTCGCGGAAGAACTCATTTTCTTCGTTAATTGATGGCTACCGTTACCTAATTTTCGGTATGTCTTAAGACTTGTGACTGTTTGTACAACCACCTACCTGTAATAGTCAACGCCACCTCCGGTCATTTTTTGTGTACCTTAGATTGATCACGGGTGAAAACTAGAATGTGTAACGTAGAGAGTACAAAGATAGACGTTTTAGCAGCGAGGCTCTTATACTAAGACATATTCGCACCGTTAAAGTATTCCATTGCACTTGGAAATAGGAACCTAGATCCAAGAGAGGGGGACCATGAAAAGCCAATGTTTTACCGAAGATCACCTCTGAGGTAGTTATAGGGTACGTTTGGAAGAGCTGAATTATATCCGGTAAATCCGAATTGGTGTAGTGGCTAACATTTGACGCTCTCATGTCTGAACAACATCAGAACCGTCAAGCCCGGGGTTCGATTCCCCGATTCGGAGTAGGATATTTTTTTCTTACCTAATGCCCCTGCTTTTACGATGGGATACCATGTTTTTGACTAAACTCACTGTCTATCTATCTATCCTAAGGCTGTTTTTATTTTCTTACGATGACTACATAATTTTTGGACCTCGAGGATTTTATGCCTTTAGTAGCTGTTAAATGAATAATAATAAATCGTATTTGTGTTGGTGTCCAGATTGTGGCAGGGCTCACTTGATACCCCGCTTGATTAAGAGTTTGCAACTGTGGTACTTAAATGTATAGATATTGCATATATGAGAATGCCTAGCCTAATTGATAAAAAAGTGGAGTGACACTCCAAAAATTCGCTTAGCCCTTCGTTCCAACCCACAAAGAAAAATAATTTGGTGGTAGGCTTTTTTGATTTTTTGTAAAGTCCAACATCACCAAATTTCATTTTGAGACCATCAACAACCCGCGTCGAGGTACGTTCGCCCAAGCTACACCGCGCTTCATACACATTATTTAATGCGCATGCACTTAATACTTCCTCTTTACTCAAGTTTGGTTTTTTCAATTGACTGACATCTTTTCCCTTTAGATTTACGACCTTCACGATGGCCTCGAGACCGACTGTCACTATCATCGGCAAGGATGGTTCTCCCTCGGGAGCTACCCATACCATACCTACCGTTTTCGCATCCCCCATCCGACCTGACATCGTTCAGCAAGTACACACCGGAATGGCCAAGAACAAGCGACAGCCGTATGCCGTGAGCGAGAAGGCCGGTCACCAAACCTCTGCCGAGTCTTGGGGAACTGGTCAGTACTCATGGCATTTACCTCTAGCATGGAGACGTAGTTGCTGATACTTTTCAATTAGGTCGCGCTGTTGCCCGTATTCCCCGTGTCTCTGGTGGTGGTACCCACCGTGCCGGTCAGGCTGCCTTCGGTAACATGTGCCGTTCTGGTCGCATGTTCGCCCCCACCAAGATCTGGCGAAAGTGGCACATCAAGATCAACCAGGGTCAGAAGTGAGTAGAATGAAATGGATGCTAAATATCTTTGCTCTGAACAACCATACTAATATCTCAAACAGGCGATTCGCTACTGCCTCTGCCCTTGCCGCTTCCGCTGTTCCCCCTCTATTGCTCGCTCGTGGCCACCAGATCTCGTCCGTGCCCGAGGTACCTCTTGTCATCGACTCGGCTGTTTTCGAGGGAGGTGCCGCCGCCAAGACTGCTGGTGCTCTTGCCATCTTGAACTCTGTCGGTGCTGGTGCCGACATCGAGAAGGCTAAGAAGTCCAAGAAGCTGCGTGCTGGTAAGGGTAAGATGAGAGGCCGTCGCCACCGCCAGCGACGTGGTCCTCTGGTCATCTACGACCCCGAGGTTGATGGCAAGGAGATCGTTACTGGAACCCGCAACCTGCCTGGTTGCGAGACCTGCTCTGTCTACGCCCTGAACCTCCTCCAACTCGCCCCCGGTGGTCACCTAGGCCGATTCATCGTCTGGACCTCGGCCGCGTTCAAGGCTCTTGACAGCATCTACGGAACCACTACGAAGCCTTCCGAGCTGAAGAAGGATTTCCTTCTACCTTCCAACCTGGTCTCCCAGGCTGACCTGAGCCGTCTGATCAACAGCTCTGAAATCCAGAGCGTACTCAACGAGCCCAAGGGTGGTCCTCTTACCAAGCGCGCCGGTGTGCAGAAGAATCCTCTCCGCAACAAGCAAATCATGCTACGCTTCAACCCCTACCACTCTACCTTCGTTAAGAACCAGCTTGGTCAGCAGAAGGCTGAGGCTGGCAAGCCCCCTAAGCCCCCCAAGGCTTTCCTGGGTGTTCTGCGTGAGGATTAGACTAGCTTGGTGAGCAGCTTAGTCTGGTGGTAGGAAAATGGTAGTGCATCCGGGGCTGTATTCACGGCGTAATGGCTCATAGGGTCTCATGAATCAAGGGAAATTTTTATGCTGATGACCGCACTGCCCACCTAAAAAGCCATTATCCGTGATGTACTGTTGCTCATATATGAGGTAACGAATAAGTTATTTCACAAATGTTCCATGATTCTATACGTGCCATGAGTGTGACTAAATCGTAGGCTACCTGTACTTAACGTACCTAGGTAAGTATCCGGATTACTCGCTTCCATTTGATTGGGATATTTCACGATGGTATCATACATAGACTAACTAGGGTTACTATTCTTTAACTTCAAAATCTAGAACCAACCCGCATTATGACCTAGCTACAGTACCTGGTATCTAAGGTTTATCTACCAGTTGCGAGAATCGTATAAGTTTATGATCACTGCATGCCGAGCATTTTTACAAGTATCGCAATCCATGCCTATCTAAGTGTATATTCATGCTGCTCAAGTTTTACAGATCGCGATAGAGTCAATTGACTTTAGACGTTGCTTCATTGATTCATTCTCATACTAATTTCGATTTGAACAGATATGAACAAATAAAAAGGCTTCTTTATGTACGATCTGACCTCTTGAGCGCCAATATCCAAACTTCTCTGTCAGACCAATTGATACATAAGCTACGGAGAATCTGTTATGCCAGGCCATGTCGACGTGTCTACGTATTTCTAACAACCCATCCAGGTACCCAAATTTCCTAAGCCCTCTATAGCCTCCGTTTGAGATTCATTTGCCAGATCGTTCAAGATGGATTCGAGCTCCTTGACATTCTTGATGCGCCAGAATTTCTGGACGCCTTCCGCGAAACGCAGGGAGCAGGCGTCGATGTTCTCCTCCGTCTCGGCGGCGAAGCATATCCGGAAGTAGGCCCAGCCCCTCTCGTTGCGGATCCGCGGCGTGGCGCTGAACATTAGGCCCGGGGAGACGAGCACGAGATACGGCTTGCGCGTTAGGAAGATCATGAGTGCTGTTGACAGCGCTGTCCCGTTGATGATGTTACCTGTTGATCCGGCGGCCTTCCACAATGGGTGTGTCTCGAAACGCATGTGAAGCCAGAGGAACATGCCGCCTCGTGGCCACTTGAAATCATACAATTGCGTCTTGGTGATAACACCCCAGTCGGAGTCCGAATCGCGCACCGGTGTCGACTGCTTCAACTGGTACGCGTTCTCGTCAAGAATCTTGCACATTCGATTCATGCGCCTTTCGTACTGGCCACGTAGCCCGGCAAGCCACCGCACCCAGCCGTCCATCTTCCAACCGTCGAAAGAAACTCTATCCTTCGTAGATCGAGCCGCGAACGCTGCTGCGGCATCGGTCTGCGGTCCCATGATGGTTTCGGCGATGACGACCTGGGCGAAACCCGAGGGCTGCTGAGTGCCTGACTCGCTGACACGGAGCAAGCGCTCGCAGACTCCCGGCGCGGCGGTAATCCATCCCATTCGGCATCCGGGAGCAACGGTCTTAGAGAAAGTATCTAATCTCACAACGCGGCCATCCACATCAACAGCCAGGAACGACGGCACGAGCGAATCTAAGAAGTCGTACCCAGACTTCTTTGCGAGGGTGTTGGCGGGCTTCGGTTCGGGAATGGGCAAATTTCGGGCCTTTGCCTCCTCGACTGCTGCTGATGGATACTGAAGGTACCAATACGGATCGTCCTCGACGATAATCACGTCGTATTTGCTGCATATTGAGTAGATCTCTTTCCGCCTCTCTAGCGACAAGACACCACTTGTTGGGTTATGTCCCATTCTAAAGCCATTTTGTTAGCAAGCCAACATACCTTTCACATAGCGCCCATTGGACCATGATAAGCTAGGTACACCGTATCTGGATCGGGAGGACGGAAAGCTTTTCTGGACAAATATCCTTGGGGGTAGGAGAACTCACGTGACAGTGTACATCAAATGCGGTCGCTTCCCCTTGCTGTCATCCCAGTTCGCAAGCACATCTTCCAAACTTCCCGGACCATAAGGCGCCATTCCCTCGTCGTCCATTTCGACGGCTACGACCTGCACTCCTCGTGGCTCAGCCTGACTGAGCACATTGGAGTACATGAAGATTTCGGTCAGCATACCCGGTCGGTCGCGGATGTCGTTCTTCCCTTCTACCCAAATATTCGTGAATACCTCCAAGGACTTGGACATACCGTCCGTCGAACCGACTGTGAAGATGACCTCCGGCCCTCCCCGATACGGCACGTTCGGGTGCAGGGCCTCGCGGGCGAATTGGCGGATGAAGGAAAGTAGGGGCGGGTATCCGTCTGCTTGACCGTATTGCAGAGCGGAAGCAAGGTCAATCTTCATCCTTGGGTCCGAAGCAGGCGCATCGTGAGGCACGACAACGTGCGATGCCGTGGTTGGACCCGAGATTGACGCTGCTGCCATCTGCGACGACAGCAGGTCATCGGCACTCGGGTGGTTCGGCGACGGGTTCCATCGATCCGGCTTCGCGGTCTGAGCTTCTAGCGTGTCGAAGGGGAAGAGATGCGCATTAGGGAGGCCTACGACATTGAGATTAGCCTTTCCTGGTCTACATCTATTCATCCGAGATGCATTGATAAGGGATTCGTACCGCCGGCGAGTTGGCCAATGCCTGGGATGGTAAAGTACTTGTAAAATTCCTTCGTTTTACTCGGTGCCCGGGCTTTTGTCACGTCGCTGAAGTGGTGTGACATATCCCGTGGCTGCGGTTTCTCGCCCATTTCGCCGATAGTTGCCTCCATGGTAAATCACGGACCACAGATTAGCTAGATAGATACCCGACTATGGCGTTCTCCTACAGGTGTGAGAGGTTCTTACGATATGTTGTGCTACCAGAAATGATGATAAATTAATCAAATTTATGTCTACTTGACGTCTAAGAAATAAAACAGCAAGACAGAAAGAATAGGCTACTATCTATTTCGTAAGCTGGTCCTTCTTTCTATCATAGAACCGTATCATTGCGTCCTTAAAGTTCATATATGGAGATGGAGATGACAAATAGGGTTCGATAAGAGATGCAGACGAAGCTAGCAGTTTTAGGAAGGATTCCGAGTGATACCTAAGATTCAGGGTCTGGATCCGAAAGTTGAAACTTTATGTACATGATGTACCGTGC